GGAGGGCCGGGCCCGGCGGGCCCCGCAGGCACCGAGGCCGCCAAACAGTGCAGTCCCTGCTCGGCGGCAGCACAGAGCTCGTCGGGGCCCGCGGCGCTGCCCTACGGCTATTTCGGCAGCGGCTACTACCCGTGCGCCCGCATGGGCCCGCACCCCAACGCCATCAAGTCGTGTGCGCAGCCCGCCTCGGCCGCCGCCGCCTTCGCAGACAAGTACATGGATACCGCCGGCCCCGCAGCGGAGGAGTTCAGCTCCCGCGCTAAGGAGTTCGCCTTCTACCACCAGGGCTACGCGCCGGGGCCTTACCACCACCATCAGCCCGTGCCTGGTTACCTGGATATGCCAGTGGTGCCGGGCCTCGGGGGTCCTGGCGAGTCGCGCCACGAACCCCTGGGTCTTCCCATGGAAAGCTACCAGCCCTGGGCGCTGCCCAACGGCTGGAACGGCCAAATGTACTGCCCCAAAGAGCAGGCGCAGCCTCCCCACCTCTGGAAGTCCACTCTGCCCGGTAAATGGCGCCCCCTTCTCAGCCCCGTCCTCCGACTCTGCTCCAGCTTCTCGTCTGCTCGCTCCTGGGTCACCCTTGTGCCCCTCTGCTCTCTCCCTGGCCTGCCCCAGCGGCACTGCCCTTCTGGGAGTCCGACCCCGTCGCTACCCTCACTGCCCTTGAGTGGGGTTGGCTCCTGGCTTTCCCTGGGTGAGGTATGGCTGGCAGAAGCTTGTGGGGGGACCCTGGCTAGCTTCCTTCTCTCTCTGTGCCCCGCCCTCCTCATCCTTGACATCGACTTAAGGATGAGAAATTGACCTGGAGAGCGTTTATTCTTTAAAAAAATTAGTTCCTAGTTCTTTCAAAAATTACTTCAGCGTAGAAGCATCAAGAGTTGGGGTTTGGAGGGGGTGCGGTGTAGAGAAGAAATCAGGCATGAAAGTATGGTGCTGGGCCGCTGGGCCAGGCTATCAACTCAAGCGGGTGCGCTGAGTCTGCAGGATGACGGACTGAGGTGCTCATTGAAATGAATCCTGGGCGATTTCATTGCTGGGCACAAATAACCACCTTCCCCACAACCCCTCAAGGTTTAGGTATAAGGCTGGGCTCTACCGCGCGCGTGGCAAAGGGCAGCCCCACGCTTCAAGGGGGTTGGCTCAGATCGACCTGTCGCCTCTGTCCTGATCCCCGTGTAACTTGTCCTCTTCCCCTTTCTTTTAGACGTGGTCTCTCATCCCTCCGACGCCAGTTCCTACAGGCGGGGGAGAAAGAAGCGCGTCCCTTACACCAAGGTGCAATTAAAAGAACTCGAACGGGAATACGCTACAAACAAATTCATTACCAAGGACAAAAGGAGGCGGATATCAGCCACTACTAATCTCTCCGAGCGGCAGGTTACTATCTGGTTCCAGAACAGGAGGGTCAAAGAGAAAAAAGTCATCAACAAACTGAAGACCACTAGTTAATGGATTAAAAAATGGAACAAGAGGGCAACTTGAAGAAATGCTTCAGAACTCGTTGCTTTGCCCAGATAATGATCATAATACTTAATAATAATTGAAGAATGGAAATAAGAAAGAGAAGACACTGACATTTCACTTCCTAAGGGGGATCTTTTTCTCCTTGGTGGAATCTACAACTCTTTCAAAACTTTAAGAAATGGTAAAGAATGCCAGTTCTCCTGCCAACTCTACCAGACCATTAAATGACAAACTCTAGAGTCAAACATCAAATCCCAAATACGTAATTTCAGATAAGTTACGAATTTACTGAAATCTTGTAAGTATTTATGTGACCGTTATATTTTAGGACACTGTTATATGGTAATAATCCAAAAGTTGGTTACAAAACGCAAGAGGCTGTTGTAAACATCTGCTTATCCTTGGTTCCCCATCCATAGCCCCTTTGCATGTTAAGTGACTGCTCAGGTAAATCTTAGTGAAATTCCTACCATTGTTGTATATTCTGCAAAACATGTCATATATAGATGTAGAGGGGAAAAGACACGAAGGTACTGAAGTGATGATTTTGGACTATTTACTATGAAGGGAAAGGGGAGACAGAGTCCTTCTGGGGATCATTTGTTTTGGTAATAAATACAACCAACTGAAACTTTGAGGCTGCAAGGAAATCCCAATTTGGTAATGTCCTTCTGATAATAATTTTTAATTGTTTACGACAAGCATATTTTGTAACATTTGGACTATAATTTCTGCTCCAATATCATTTACTTTAAAAAAATTGATAACCTTAAAATATATTTAAAGTACCAGATGATCCACAAAATTCACTTTATGTCAGAGCTCCTAAGAAGTCCCCAGTGTGATAGACTTTGGTTTCAACACAATTTTTTAAAATTTAAATTAATATTTCTGAATATTTATGACACATTTTTGCTGGATAAATCATTTTCCTTTTTATCTTTTGGAAACTCAAAACAGAAACCCATTCCCCCAGAACATTTAGATGTTTACATCCTATATTTTGATATTTTAAGGGATTAGTATTTTTCCTTGTTTATTGTGTAATGAGACTGCATTAGAAAGCTTAGAGATTCATCTTCACAGCACATTTTTAATCAAGCAGTTATTTCAACCAGCACATTCGTTTTGTTCATATTCACTATAAAATGCTATCTTGTAAATAAAGACAATTCAGCACACTGAAAATGTATCTGTGCACCTGCTTTTCAAATATCTCTACTAAAAATAATAAAAATCCTTAGACCTATAGATAGTAACATATTGGAATTAATTATGTTAATAAAATAGTCACTGCCATTAAGGAAATACTCATTATTTTCCTATGCTAAACACACCCTACCCAGAAAGAAAAGGAGCAGGTTTGTCCTACACAAACCAAGGACCATTTTTTTCCTATTATTATTCAACTTTTTTCCGACAATTTTTTAAGTCAAAGGGCTAAATCCCTCATAAGTAAAAATTATAATATTTTAAATAAGTGCTTCAAGAAAGTTAAAGTGTCAGGTATTCTGAAGGGAGAAAAAGAGAAAGGAGGAAGAGATAGTATAAATCCTCAGGCTCTGTGCGGAAAATGAAAACCAGTTGTTCAGTTTCAGCGATGTCGTATTTTAAAATCTGCTGTTGGGTCTGCTTGTGTCTGAAAGGGCAGGTTTTGATATTTGTTGAAATGGCAGGACTAGGAAAGGCCTTAAACCTTGACCTTGACGAAAAAAGACAATTTGTGACCTTGACTTTTGACAGCTCATGAATTGGCCTCAGCTGGATTAGTAGATCAAGGGCGCCACCTCGCGTTGACAAGCTTCCTTGTAATTCTTCAGCTTCAAGGGAATCAAAACATCTTACCTTCTGAACTCCTTGTTTTGGAGATTTAGTACTCATTTTGTTTTTACTCCAAATGGAGAAAATTTAAATATGTGTAAGTTATACAAGTACCTGTATATATGTGTATATATACTATATATGTGTATACATGTATACATTTGCATATCAGTGCTTGTATAAAATATTTGTAGAGTCTGTACAGATTTAGTATCATTAATTACTACTGATCCAATATATTGTAATTTAAGGTGATTTCAGGAGTTGAGGTACAAGATGTACTTTACATGATGAAATTCTTCCTCCTTTTCTTCAATGGCCAAGTTTGATTTGTCTTCGCAGAGACTTGCTCTATGCATCAGATTTCTGCTGATCTGCTTTAAAGCTGTACATTTTTGTTATAGTCTAAGAGGTATTCTTAAATAACTGTTCTTTCCTGGCCCTCAGCCTCCGAGGTCGTCTAATGTCCCAATTAAAGCAATTGGGGAGTCTATATGGCCAATAAAATGTTTCAGATCCCTTGCTAACTCTAGAATTCTAGAGTTACATTTCAAAAATTCAAAGAAACCCATCTTGTAAGTGGTCAGTTTGAAGAGCTTAAAGATTTCATATCTACAAAATGACAGTGCTATGGATTCAGAAGGAGACTTATCCTGGATAGCTCAGAAGTGAGTACTACTCCTGGGTGGTGTGCAATGGTCTCATGATGTTTGTGAAACTACCATTTAATTTTTTAAAGAAATACAGAAACAACATTTACAACTACCATCAAAAGTTAATAAGAATAATTATATCTACTACTCATTGACAACTAATAACAATCAGGTGTTTAGAAGCATAAATAATATATATGCACATTTATATATTTAATATGCACATAGGATAATGCATTTCCATCAAAACCATTCTATACACATATGTATTGAGATGTTGGTGCAACTAGGAGTCTTAGGATTCAGAATTTTGAAATGAGGTTAATTTTATCTTTATGTTAAAGGAAAGTAATTGTGAGCTGAAGAACCATATCCACCATTATATGGAAAATAATATTGGTTGGTTACAAACCTGGCAAATGGAAACCTCTCCAGCCTAAAGACTTAAAGCTTCTTAATAGATGAAGAATTATAGGAAAAAAATCCTAAAGCTTCCTCAAAAACAGCATGGTCTTAAAATATACAAATGGAATGATCTTATGAAATGTAGAAATGTTGCTGCCCTCAGGATTTTCACTCCTCTTGCGGAAACAAATGAAAATGATGCTTCAGATCAACCTCCCCACAGAACTCCATTTCTAAATGAGCTGCCATCAAGCAATAGTAACAACTTTCTCCCCAAATGTTTAAAGTGGTGGAAAATCTCCTCAAAGCTGGATCAAAGTTTGATCCAGCTGTGTGTTTACGAACAGCTCCAAAGGGGACTCTTCTGTTGATGGGGGATATTTTTCTTTAGATGTAAGAAATTTTCTGAGCCTCAGGCCTAGGAAGGAGGCCAACAGCAGCTCTACAGCCGGAATACCACCATCTCAAGCCATCACCACTGCAGGAACTCTGGGTAAAGTAGTAGTCATTTTTCTATCTCCAGTTGTTGAAACTAATGGCAGAAGCTATTTCAGAGGTGTTTATTTTTTCCTACTCTGAAATGGTTGTTGATAAACTTGATCTTACCTAACTCCTTTCTTATTTAAAATTCCCATAGATCTACCAGATAGCCCAAAGTAAGCATGGATTATGATGGCTCCCTAGTGCCCAAATTGCAATTAGTCCAAAAGGTTAGAAAAAAGACACCTATTGATAGTAAGCAACCAGCTACCATATTGGAAACATAATTCAGACACTAGGATAGTGTTGTTAAATAACTGACTCAATTTTTTTTCTAAAAGTGAAACTTTCTGAATAAACAAATTGTAAATACAGAAACAACTAGGCACCACTTTCATCTATTCAATCATTTAAGATTTTTAAGCCTGTAAAGGCCTGTCATGTTAAAAATTTGTGACTATGGGATTTTAAAAAACTTTCCATCTGCTCTTAATACTGTCATATTTATTAAGATACTTTAAGTGGATGATTGTAAAATGTCACTTTGCATTTCACTACTATTTATGCCTGATGCAGAGCTGAACTCATCCATTTAAATTTTTTTTAAATAAAAGAGAAGCATTTAAAGAAAGAGGGGAAAAGCAAATTGTTTTTAAAAGTTAGATGTAAAGGAAATGTTTTCTTAAAAATCCAGGAGGCAGAGAAATTCAACCCAGGGTGATACTTATGTGCGGTATTTAACGACACATTTCACCATATGATATATGTACAGATTACACCCTGCTGCGTGTATTTGGAGGTTTCAGTGAAGATGTAGTGCCTTGCTTTGCTTCTCTCTTCGAAATGCCCGAGTTTTGGAGCGGAGATGGAGTTTGCCCCGACTGCTGAGCCCCAAACCCTGTGGGTTCAGAGCCGCCCTTGAGCATTTGCGGACCTCTAGCGCGGAGTCGCGAGTGGCTTGCTGATTTATGCGCATTCTTTTAAAGTTGATCGAATGCGTGTCAGCGGCCGCAGACCTGGGGAATCAGAAATGTGCAGTGAGTAGCTCACATCCCATTTTTCATAAGCAAAGATGTAGCGTTATCCAACAGGCCTGGGGAGATTTATGCCTAGGTTTTAGGACAGGCACACTAATTAAGTTTTCAACTGCTAGGCCGCCGGGTAAATAACAGCCAGCTTCATTCTTTAGGAGAATATCCCCTCTCCGCTAGGCTGCTTCGACCTTCGAGCATCTACCTAGCACTGAGATACCTAGCCTGAAGGGTGCTCGCTATTTTGAATTTTATTTTAAGGGAAAGAAAGGAGACGTTGACACGGAAACAAATTCCTCCATGAAAGCAGCCAAGGCCTTGCCACGGTTGATTTCATTTCTCCCCGGCTCCGCCGCTCTGGCAAAGAGCTGGATCCACCCGGCAGAAATCAGGGTCACGGCGTCTCCGAGATGTTCTAACCCTTGTGGGCCACTGCTCGGGGCTGCTCCCAGGTGCTGGGATGTGGACCAGCGCGAGACGCCCGGCGGTGGATTGCGAGAGCCGCCCGATGTCGCGCCCCTCGGGGGCAGACGCGAGGCTCAAAATCCTCCACGATTCTAAGTGAACCCTCAAAATGGAGGCTCGAGCCCTGGTA